AACAAGGGTAAAATTGAATCACAAATAGGGCCAATTTGGATCACGAAGTGTGATCCAATAATGTACAAATTATTCCCGGTATTATATAAGATTTTTACTGTCATTCTAAACGATTGGGTGTACCAAGAGATTGATTTCTACTTGGTTGAGTAAAACTTACAAGTTAATAAGTTTTTTTATTAAGTGTTAAGGTTTAGTGAAAAACAATGAAAAAAACATACTTATATATACATATATTTAAAAATTGAAATTTTAATACAGGTGTAGTAAATTAAAAACAATTACTAGAGAAAAAAAAGCAATTTATAAAATGTATACATTTTTTTTTTACAAAATTTTGGTCATACATTTGGTATAACATTAATTGGATAGACCATATCTGAACACATTACAAGAGTGAATTAGTGGTGGCTAGCTAGCAAAATTCCAATGGGTTCTAGTGTTTAGCCAGTATCAGACATACAGTAGCACTGCCTATGTGTGGCTTGGATTATTCATAGAAATGATATTTTAGATACCTCCTCAATAGGTCATCAGAACTTTACAATACTATACGGTGTTTTCTTTTATAACAATATCTATGTAATGACTGAGTCACAAGTTTTGGGAATGTCTGTAAATATTATAGCAAAAGTTTTAATTTCTTGTTCTTCATTCTTCTGTTTCTTTTTTATTACATGACTAGCAAAAATACCTGGTTGATATATTCTAGATGACTATATCAGTGTGTATGTTCTGAACCTATTTTAGCAACCCGCAGGTGGACATAGTCTTCAACTCGGAGCTTCTTTTAGTTTATGTGAATGAATCGCAGCCTTTCTGTTTCAGTTTTGGCATACATTACGATTTTAATGACAAGGGTGTAAGGGAGCCGCGAAATCTTGTAAGTGTAGTGCATTCACATAATGGTATAATTTAAAGAAATTAATAAATAAGCCTAAAGTAAAGACATAGTGTAAGATAATCTAGCATACAGCCAAGTGCATAAAATATATCATGAAAGTAAAAATATTAATCCAATTCTCAACTTAAATTGTTTCTGAATTACGTTATTTTCTGTTATATCTCTAAATTAAGAAATCAACAAATATTTTTCCAGTTTTGTTGTTTATATATTTCATTTTGTACTTTCAGTACATTAAATAACAACAAAATTAGGTTATACTTTTGTTGCTAAGCAACATGGCATAAAAGCCATTGTTGGAACACGTTGTTACCAAAACGCATTTGATGGACTATATGTATATAGTAAAAGAGAGTGTTTGTCTGTCTATCTGTGATTTCAATTTGTAATATACGAAACCGCTTCTTTTCTATGTGTTTTTTGCTAGCTTGCCTCATTAAAAAGATGTACATGAGCTTTCTATTTGGATTTTTACTAGCTTGCTTCATTAAAAAGATGCAAATGCACACAGGCATGTGGATAAATGATAATGCCCAGATACACACTCTCAGGGTCAACTTAGTATTGGTTTAAAATTTCACGTTTTTAGGTTTTTTCCTCTTGGAGCTATGGCAGTCACACACACACATACAGACATGCCCTTTTATTATTATAGATAACTCAAAAACCAAAACAATGGTGTCAATTAATTTGACGGAGGTGACATAGTTTCAAACAGAGTATCCACTTTTATAAGTATTATTAATAACTAGTTGTAATAAAAAAAACATAATTCTTTTGTAGATGATGTTATCATTATCCCTTGAAGTTAGCTTTCTTACAGAAATTTTTTATTCCATTAAAAAGTTTAAGTACAGGGTGAAACAGGAATTACCAACCAATAATAGATAAACAAAAATATTACAGTTGGAACCTCATTGTATTTAGAACTTGGTTATGAAACAACCTTTCTATGTCTATTGAAACACTGCATTAAAAAAGCAAGCAAACAAGAAAACAGGGATTGCATTTGCATCATCCCTACTATCTTGTTTACATTGCTTTTGAAGGACTTATATTTGCCATCCCTAAATTTACTTTTTTCAAGTTTTTTCTTTACTTGTTTTACTATCACGAGACACCAGTATTTTTTTTCCCACTTCATAATCCAGTTATAGTTCTGAATATTTGGACCACTTGTAAACAACTATAAAAAATTACGTTTAAAAAATCTGTCTGCAAATACAACTTTAATCACAAATATAAATCTAATATTTGATAGTATATTAACAAATACGGTACGCTAGGCCTGCAATGGCAAACTATTACCTGTACTAAACAGGAACAGTTTAGTCTTCAAAACATACTTAGTAACACACATAAAACCAGAAGGTTACAAAGCTTTATGCCAAATTTCAAACAAAAAATAAAGACAGTTTGAAATGCACACAAAAAAAACTTCAAATTAAATCTCAACACTATTAAATAGATGCTTAAAAGAACAACAAAAACATAGTATAAACACATAAAAGTTTATAAATTTATCAAGTGTATACTCAAGAAATGCACAACTCTTGCTATAAAATAATAAATGTGAAAAAAAGACTAACATCAGACTCCTAAAATCAACATAAGCAATATAAACACAGGCCTAACTATTTTTGTACATGTTTGGCCATATTGTGAAGCTCAGGATTTTGGAATTAGTGAGGTTCGAGCACATGTAATACCATTAAAATATCCCACCCACCCCATTTTAAGAGTGAAAGTCAATCCCTTATAGATAATAGGTAGTAGATGCTGCTGACTTACTGTCTTTTCTGTAGCTAGTAGTTTAAAATTAGGGATGATGGCAGATAGCTTTTTTTTTTTTTCATCAATACAAAATGGAAATACTCAAGTATAGACTAAAACCTTGATGTTTTATTAAGGAATTCTCTAAACATAAAACATCTTGTTTTTTCCCCTCAAAATAACCTTTATAATATATCTAGAACAATTTTAAAAATAAAAACTATAGCCCCTTTCAGAGCAACAAAAACTTAAAAACAACCTAATAAAACATGAAATATCTGCACTAAGAGAACTGGATATAAACGTCTTAACTTATTAGTTTTATTTCTGGGTGATTAACTTGATTAATCAATATAATCTGTTATCTATTAGTATTGATTAATGTCTGTCAAATGTCACAAAAATAATCAACTAAGCAAACTTAATGTCTCTATTTATTACTATTTTCAATTATTCCAACTATCCAAGTAATCAAAACATTGACATTACAATATCTAATTATTATTCATGAGCAGTGTTCCCTCTAAGCTATGCGGCTACACAACAATCAATCAAGTGCCTCACACTTCATTATTCCAGCCTCACATCCTCGGTAATGGTGAGAAGTCTCAACACACTGCCTTAATGACCTTGGCAGTTGATAGGCCTGAAGCCCAAATAACCAACTGGTAGCATTGCAAAGTGGCCTAATGATCCAATATGGTCAATGATCTAAAAATACCCTCTCCCCTAAAATATCTGGTAATGCATATCAGCATGTTTCCATGACACTGGTACACATGAAAATATTCATTCTGCACATGGATTGAAAAAATTAGAGGGAACGCTGTTCATGATTAATTCAAGGTTGTTCAGGTTTATAGATTAGAGGCATGACTCAAGAAAATAATAAATTAATTGAAATTACTGTTTTAAGACAGGGAAGAGGGGGTTGCAGAACTTGTTAATAAGCTTGCAAGTTATATTAACACAGTCCAAAATGTTTTTGAAAGTAAATGCTAATGTTGTTCTTAAAACAGCTTCTTTTCTTTCATCAATTACTTTTAAAGTAACTAGCAAACATTTTCTAAGGACCAAAAAAGCTAGTTTCAAGCCCTGAATTATTGCCATCTGGAAAATATCTGTGAATTTTAAACTTGAACTGTTAAATTTGATGTATATTTTTTGCATATGAGAATGATACATACACTACCAGCCATTTTGATATCTTAAAATTCAACTAATATGGCTCTCTAATAAATATGAATATAAAGATATACTATTGAAACTTATAGTGTGCTTTGCAGTTAACCATACTGATTTAAAACAAAAATGCATACAATTCTCCAAAGCAGTTTTTAAACACGATTCATTTTTGATATGTGACACACTAAAAAATATCTATTGTACATAAGTTGATAGTGGGAAATCAACACAAAATAAAAAAAATAATGTTTGTATTAATATTACCTAATAAAATATTCCATCACTTTGACCATAGTAGCTCTTTATTTTAGCATTATTAGGTTATCTTACATGACTTTTAAACAAAATTTGCGGCTAAAAATGTTTTTATAATGCAATTGAACTAAAAAGCTGATTTATTCATCTTTCAGTGTTGCTTTTTTTCCCTTGCATATTGGAGACCATGTCTTTATTGATGAAGGAACAGTAGTCAATGCTGCCCATGTTGGCTCCTTCGTATACATAGGGAAAAACTGTGTTATTGTAAGTAATAGAGGTTTTGTCTGATTAGGAATTTATGAACATAAGTATTCAACAATTGTATATTAGTGTTCTTAAATTATGTGTGAACTTAGTTGTAGACTATAATAGTTTAACTTGTCACTAAAGATGTATTGAAATTATATACGTTATGAAAATACTAATTTCATAGTGGAATCTAATTGTGTTAATTAAGGAATGTATTTCCATACTTGGTATACGGGTGGTTATTATTTTAGGGACGTCGATGTGTTCTGAAAGACTGTTGTTATGTTGCCGACAACACTGTTCTACCTCCAGAAACGGTGGTTCCAACATTTTCCACGTACTCTGGTTCACCAGGTAATATTTTTGTCACTATCATTTTGTTTTATTTAGTATTTTTCATTGTTTCATGATGTAGATTTCCAGAGCTTCTATAGGTCCATGAAAATTTTGAAACCCTTGATAGCTTTAACAGTGTTTACCAAAATTAAAGTTTCCTTATTGGCTGCACTTCCCAAGATGTTGAATTCCTTGGATGTAATATTAACATTTTGGGAAGTGCAGCCAACGAATAAATGTTCTGCACTAAAGAGAACCTGTGGATACACAAGGTGCATCCTGAGTTAAATGTAAACCAAACAGCATCATCTTTGCTTCTAAAACTATGATTTGACTATTGCCTGGGCATGATTTAACTAAAACCGAAAGCTTGCATATGCAGGAGAATGTATCATATACTCAAAATTGTACAAAACTGTAACAAGCTGAAAAATATCTTTAATACCTTTCCATAGGTTTCTTCCTACAAATTTTCACAAGTCTACTCTACTAAAATTAGATAAACTAATTCTTTGTTAGAAATAATTGTTCTTAGATTTCATGTAATAAAACTAGTAAAGATTCTTGTCATAGTGTGTGATAGATGATATATATATATTTCAGTGAAAACAAATTCACTCTATGAAAAACTTGAAAATTTAATTATCAACCTTATAAGTATAAAAAACATCATAAACTTTTAAATGATAAGTTATTGATACTGATAGAAGTTTAGAAAAACCATGTTAAAGTTATTAATATATTACATTAGATACTGTAAAAACACGTGTGCATGCTGAGTATTCAATGCATCAAACAATTTAAAGCTTGCTATAGTAGATGGTTTTGTAGCACGTGATGACGGCCAGACTTTTGTTTTCCATTGTTAGTGCTTCCTATCTAGCTTAAGCTAGTCATGATTAAACAGGAGCCCTGTTCATGTAAATAGTTTAACGACTTCAAGTTATTACATACTATTAGACTGTTATTAGTCCATGTCTGACAAATAGTTAAATGAGCAAATTATTCAACAGTCAACTTTTCTTTTTTTGAGCAAATAAAGAATACTGAATATTAACTTGCTGTAACATTTTTATTTAAGCAGTCTTACCCAAACACTGGTTATGTTTGTAATAAGCAATATAAGTTAAAGCTGCAATATTATTTAATATAAATAATGTAAGCATGAACAATAAGTATCAGAGTGACAATATTTTGATTTTTGGGTAGTTAGAATAAACTAAAACATTAGTTTTTATTAGTTAATTAATTGAAAATCATAATGACAATACATTAGTAACTTAGTTTATAGATGTTTTATAGTTTCTTTTAATTCCATCATTATTGTGAAAACAAAGTAATTAACAACTTTATAAGTATAAAAACATCATAAGCTTTTAAACGAGTTTCTGATACGATGAAAGTTTATAAAGACCATGTTAAAATTATTAATACATTATGTTTTACTGATCTTTGTTATAGTTTGGACAGTCAGAATAATCTGAAATATGAATTTTGATTGAATGATTATTTTGTGTGATGCTAATCAATGTAATCAGTGATCGTAGGTAATCAATTAATTGAGTTAATCACTTAGCTGAAATTGTGATGAGAATTTGTTGACGAAGAAGTTAGGTTGATATGGTATTTGCTTATCCACATTATACTCAAAAATGGGACTGTTGACCTTTCAGTAGGTTTGAATACATTATGGTTGTGTTTAGGATATTGGTTTCACTGTTAACCTGCAAATAGGTATGGTAGCTTGTGAAGTTGGCACCACTCAATCCTCCCCACAACAATGTCCATGATATTTTTCACTATATACTTTGTATTATGATATTAATACTTTTTATATTAAGTAATAATTTGTGTATAGTTTTATCTCATCATTTTGCTGAACTTATTGTTCTAAGTCTTTCTCTATTGTACATTTTGTTTTTATGTAATAGTTAAATTGTTAAAAGTGACCAATCATTTTATGTTTTTATATATTTTCATTTCTTTTGTACCTTCAAATATACTTACTAATGGGGATCTTGATCATTTAATACCAATTAAATTACAGTTTACTTACAGACAGTTGAGTTTACTTAGTAATATTTGTGGTAGTTAATATAGCCAGAAGCTTAAACTTTAATTATTTTTTTAATAATAGTCGCTCTTTAATAATAATAATTTTGTTTATATAATGAAGATGCAATTGTTTTGGTCAAGCTTATAAATTTTATTTTGTTGCTTTGTTTTGAAAGCAGTTTCTGTCTCACCATATTGCAAGGAGCTGTCAAGGCTCTTTAAAAAACCAAAATAATTGCTGAATTATAAATATTTGCATAGAGGTTTTGTTGTGCCAGATGGTTAGAGAATACTCTAGTAGTGAAATATGCTGTCGAAAAGTTCCCTAAAGTAAAGCAGTGCGTTGAAATCATTCAAAAGGACAAAAAAAGAAGTATTCAGTGACAAGACTCCATTTCTACATCTCAATTATTAAGTAGTTCAATCCTGTTCTTAAGAAATATCAAAGATCATGCTATCCGAACATTTCCGGTGTTGCTTCTAGAATGTGTACTTTGCGTATTTATGCTATTTTGATTGCCACTGATGCAAAATAATTGTATGCCTGTGTACTATTTCACACACAAAAAAAAATGTTTTAAATAGAAGTACACATTTTAATTTTGTGTGTGTGACCATCCTTTGAAACATATTATGAATGACTTTGTGATGATAGATCACGATCATAACTTGAAAATTCCAAACAGTTATTAATACATTTGGATTTACAAAGGCATGTGTTTGGGTACATTATGATGTCACTTGGTTTTGCAGGAGATTCCCTTGATATTATGGGATATCAATGATTGAATATGGAGGAAAAACAAAAGGTACAAAGATGTTAAAGAAGCATTTAATTTCCAGAAAAAATTTCCTACGTTTTTCCATCAAAACGATGCACAAATAGAAATAATTAGAGGAAAAAGACACAGAGAAGACGATTGTAATGTAAGTTTTGTCAGTGAATGCATAGATATCTTCAGTACATACACAAAAGAAACAATTTACTGACTAATGAATCATTGCATCAAAACAGACTTTCACCAATATAAGGCCTCACAAATAATACAGAAATATTGATATTCGATTCAGTGCAACTGTTGAAACGAAAAACTTCTTATGATGTAGAATGTAAATTAGTGTCAGGAGATGGAGATCTTTGTGTACTAATAGAAGGGGCTTCTTAAAGATGTAATAACATTATCTTGTCAAGTTACCACATGCTCTGAAATTGTCTATGTGTGAGAATCTAGAAGAATGCCAAACACTCGTGTTCTGAGAAAATTTGTATTCTGAGATAACTTGAATAAACTATCAATTATATTGCTGAGTGGTGTATGACCATATATCAAATGTTGCAAAATATATTTTAACACATTTAGTCATACTAGAAATTGAGGAACATACATGCATTACTCAGAGGAAGGCAGCAAGTGAAGTGCTTGCTTTCCAAGGTAGAAAAAATGTACAAGGAAAGTAGTGAATTGAAGTTTCTCTCGAAGTCGAGTATTTGAAAATTGATTGAAGATAATAAGAAAATGCTAGAATACTGATAGTAAGAAGAATATTTTTCCTCTGCGAATTGATGACTGAATCATTTTTGTCTTTGAAACTTGTACCAATCTGTAACTTTTGTTTTGAAATTGTTAAACAACACATTCTGACTAATTCTCAAATTCTGTCAGTGCCATGGATGAAGTTACTAGTAGGCTATAGTTTGAATACCTTGAAGTGTGTGTTACTGTGTACTAGTAGGTATTTTGAATCTACTATATCATTGTCTGGAAATGTTGATGAAGTTGTTTTGTAAATCCTGAAATAGTTTTCATAATGAAGTATGAAACCTGCTCTTCTATGCTGCTACATTTCATATTGGAAATCCTCAAAACCTGTTAAATCACAATAAAACTGACATGAAGAGAATAAGTTGTAAAAAATACACTTCTTGCTTGCTGTTGTTGCTGGCATTAAGTACACTTCAATTAAGCTTGCTTCACCCATCATAAAAGTATTCTAAAATAGTACAGTACAATAATAGTGTTTCCTAGCTTATTGATTTAGGTATTTTCCTTCTGTGGTAAGAAATATTGTAATTCTTATAGTTAACTGTTATTAAGCAAAAACAGTCAACCAACAAGACTAGAATTAATTTGTTGAGTTTTGCATAGGTCAGAAACAAAAATGCATACAAATTGTATTTTATTTTGTATCATGAAATTACCTTTTAAAATAGTTGAATGAGTGTTGTTCTGCAAGACACGAGAAGAAAAACTTGGATAAATGTGATAAACAATAAATTGATATGTCTGAATGAAAACTTTTTGTACTTTATTTTCTGTGACATTTCAAGCCTTCATCAGACAGTAAAGACCATGTTAGAATGGAATTACCCTAATTCTGTATATTAGGAATTTGTGATAAAGGCTCTATATTTTATGCTTCTTAGTCTTCACAGTTAAGGTTTTATAGTCAATTAGTAATCTGTTCCTGTTCTGATTAAAGGCTTAAAATAATTAAATTTTTTGGAAAATTTGTTTATTTTTATGATGAAGAATAACATTTTTTCAACAAAATCTAATTTTCAGCAAGTAAAAGAAGCTTCTGTTATCTAACTTCTTCATCAGCACAGATGTTACATACTAGGTGTTTCTAAAACTCAACCTTTAATCATACAGAGTACATATTGAAGTTCTGTTTTGAGAAAAACATATAAACATAGCTTTTATACTTGAAGAAGAACATTCAGCTTTTCAAAAATGTTCAAGTTTTTGGGTCTTTTGAAATCTACTTGAAACGTAGTCTACAAAATGTGTATCTGACAACACTTTATTTTGGGATATAAAACAAACTGTTAGTTATGGAGAAAAAGTAAAACAGTTTTTCTTGTTTGAACATGACATTTGTGGGAGTTGCACCTAGTCTGTAATGACTACTAAAATCATCTCTTATTTTTTAGGTTTGTTTTCTGGTGAACTTCCTGAATGTACCCAGGATCTCATGGTTGACTATACTAAAGGCTACTACCAACACTTCCGACCAGTACTGCCTACTTAAAATGGAAAATTCAATAATGAGTTTCATTTCTGCTAAAAATAGTTATCATTTACAATATTATAAATGTAATAATATATAATAAGTAAAAACTTTGGTTTTCAACTTTATTGAAACCAAGTCATGATGGTATTTGCTATTTATGATCAGTATATAATCCTGTTTTTTTGTGCATTTTTTGTTTTTTACAGAAACAATTCTCTGCAGCTCTTTTTTTTTTCAATTATAAAGCAAACTGTAACCTTACAAGCACAATATCAAAAAAACACATAGGCTCAAGAAGTCTTGATACAAGATGATAAAAACCCTATAAGCCGAGTGCTTTCGAAAGCACTTGGGCTATAGAGTTTTTATCATCTAGTAATCTTGCAAGAGTACCAAATGTTATACATTAATTGTAAACAACAGCCCTTTTATGATTAGTCTGTCTGATATGATATTTAATCAATCATATATACCTACTTGGTAAAAATTAAGATGAATTTGTATCATTGACTGAAAGTGCCCTTTATGTTAATAAATCATCATATGGAAGGAACTGTCATGGTTTATATCTGTCATGCATATCCACAAAGCTTGTCATTAAAACATTTGCTATACTGTAGTCTACTTTAAGAAAAGTTTATTTTAAATAAAAGTTGTTCTTGAACAATCACTATATTGCAAACCTATATTTATGTTTTAACATTTTTCCATAGTACATTTCTCATAAAAAATTTATGCAATGATTTTTCCACAGGATCCTGTCATTTGTGTATGTTATAAATATGTATTATGTAGAAAACTACATATATATTAATATTCATGCATTTTGAGAACAAGAATTTAATAACTTAGTTTTTTTAGGATTTGCCTTAAATTAAAAGTTGTGTTATTTTTGCTATATTTGTTCTTTAGATCCAAGACTATTATTTCCTCGTGACTGATGTAGTAAGGGTTGAAAGATGACATTTGATTTTTAACATATTAGATTTGTCCAATAATTTTAAGGTAGTTTAGCTTTCAAGAAAGTATGGTTATGCCAGGGTTGCTGCATTTGCTTTTTAAATATTCTAAACAGTTTATAACCAATTGGTATTTTGTTTAAGATGAGTTTTCCACTCATTTCGTACAATAATTTAATAATAATTAAATTGTACCTAAAAGCTATGCTCGATGTGAATACAAGACACAAGTACAATATATAGCAAAGTGAACTGATTTTCACGTTTTCAATTTCATGCAACTAGAAAGGTAATCAAATTTTTAACCATGAATTAAGTAATGTGATTTATTTGATTTTAGAGCCACAAAATACAGTAAAATCATTAAGAATACATTTAATGTGTTTACATAAAATATCATAAAAACCTATGGATAGACTATACATATAACACATCTTTATTGTTCTTGACAGTAAAAAATTGTCTTCTGAATTGCATAATTGAGTAATAACAGTGATTCTAAAAACTATGATGATAAAATGAATTTACTCGCTTTTAAACATTATTTTTGTATGAATTATTGAGGTTTTTCTACCAAAAATATACTTGTAAGTTTTTCTTTTGTCATGTACTAAAGCATATGGTCCCCAGTGGCTCAGCAATAAGTTTGAGGGTTTAATTATACCACTGAACATTGGGTTTAAATACCCATGGTGGACAGAGCAAAGACAGGTCATTGTGTACTTTTATGTTTAACAACAAACAATAAAACAAAACAGATTATATGATTACATAATAATGCTTTTATGATTTGATGTTTAACCTGCAAAGTATTTCACACTTTTTTCTTACTTTTAAAAACTCTAATATTATGAAATACAGTTCAATCAACTATGGGGCTTTAAGTCCATTTTACTTCACCGTATAGTAACCAAATTGGGTCCATGGGAAGGCACAACAAATTTATGGTTTTGCAGTTTTTACCATTACTTCACCCCCAGTAGATGGATCTTCACCAAATTTGGTGTGGTGGTTCATTGGGTCCATGAGGATATACATACAAATTTTAGGTTTTGTATTTTTTACCACTACCTCGTCCCGTGTAGATGGATATTCACCAAATTAGATATGGAGATTCATTGGGTCCATGGGAAGATGCATACAAATTTTCAATTTTGTATTTTGTGATTTTTATGGGCATTTTTTTACCACTACCTCACCTCTTGTCGATGATTCTTCACCAGATTTGGTATGGTGGTTCATTGGATCTATGGGGAGATACATACAAATTTTCAGTTTTGCATTTTGAGTTTTATGGGTTTGATAGACATTTTTTACCACTACTTCATTCCCTATAGATGAATCTTCACCAAATTTGGTATGGAGGTTCATTGGGTCTATGGGGAGTTGTATACAAATTTTCAGTTTTGCATTTTGAGTTTTATGGGTTTTATAAACATTTTTGCATTTTTTACCACTACTTCCTCCCCTATAGATGAATCTTCACCAAATTTGGTATGGAAGTTCATTGGGTCTATGGGGAGTTGTATACAAATTTTCAGTTTTGCATTTTGTGTTTTGCAGTTTTTATACGCATTTTTTACAATTACATATAAGGAAGCAACTTTTCATGTCCTAAGATAACCTTTCCGTTAATCATGAATTTACATAACTTCTGTCCAGGAAAAGGGTATATACTCCAGCTAGATAATAAATAGTTTTAATTTGAGTGGCAAACCACAAAAAGCCTCTATGAACATCATAAGAAGTGTGATTATCCAAAGAAGACCTGGTGTAACATCATTAAAGAAGACTTAAAAGAAATAAACATGAACTGGAGGGAGCCAAAGAAGCTGTGTGTTACATGGAAAAGTGGAGATCCTTCATTGCCCTGTGTTCTAAGACCTGTGTAATTCAGCTGGTACTCACCTGCACTGAGTACTGGAATTTATTTTTTAAGATAGTACTAGTACTAGGAATTATTTGAAATTCTTTTTTTGGATACACCTACATTCCATTGTTCCGTCAGAAAGCATTTTTTCATTGTCACTCAAATTGTTATTTTTTATGTTTACATGCAGATTTTTTATGTTACTTGCCTTTGTAGTGTGTTAGAGTCCCCCCCCCCCTTCTAGGGGTTAGGCGATCAATATTAAAGTGTTTAAAATGTAATTTTCATCGTTAAAGAGTTTTCATTTTATTATTGTCAGACTAAACTGAGTAGGCAATCTTTATCAAAGTTGTTGTATTGTGTAACTTCACCCATTTCACTTTTATCTTGGTTAATACCGAAATCGCCTGCTATTTTTGTTTGCTTGTTTAAGGGTATTTTGTTTATATATGTGTGTGTACTTGAATTCTGTGTTAAAGAGGTTCTTTTGATTATGCAATAATATTGTGATAATATTGAATGTATTATGTAGAGGGTTTATAGTCAAGTTGGCATTCATTGGTTAAAAGTATTTTGTATCTTCATTTAAGGGTTGTAACGTCTGTAAGATGTGTAGGCGTTTTTGAAATGCAGAAGAGGTGAACACAATTCTCCATCAGCCCCAGTTTAAAGTTTATTGGTTTAAAAGTAGAAGTAATTGTCTGCTTGGAATGTATACTCTATAGGAATATACTTTTTGTTTCTATTTTATTGTAATGTTATAATATTAAAATATTATTCTAAATTTATTCTTTTTTCTGAAAGTATGCAGGTTTCACGTAACATGTAGTCAAGAACAAGGTTAAGCTGATCTTTTTTTTTACATAATGTTACGACAGCGGAAGTCACGTGACGCTGGTAACACGTCATGAGATTCTCAAAGGATCTTTACTTTTCCTGGCAACTCTAGTCTTTTCTAGGCGCCCTCGTTTTTTCTTTTTTTTTTTTGTATATAAGCCCGGCAAATAAAGCGGAGATATAATTGCAGATAGACAGATATAGAGGTAGATAATTGAGTCAAGCGAGCTGTAGGCACTGTAAGTAAAGTGCGTGGATCGTTGTGAATTATAGCGTGTATTTAAGTTAAAGTGACTTTGGAAATTCTGTGTATTGCAAAGTTGTATTGAGAAAGAATAAACTAGTTTAATTAAGAAATAACTCGTATCGCCGAAGTTCCTCGGGAAGAATTTATACTGGAAATTAACAACCGACCAGATACGTAACAAATTGGTGTCAGAGAGTGGGACAGATAAAAGAAAAAAAGATGGAAACCAGGAGTGCCAAATCAAACTACGACTTAGCAGATTTGATGGCAGCAATACAAGAACAGCAAAAGAAACAAGAAGAACAAGAAAAGAAACAAGAAGAACGAGAAAAGAACCATGAAGAGAGATTACAGCAGTTGTTGGAGGAAAAAGAAAAAAACAAGAAGAGAGACAACAGCACTGGTGGAGGAAAAGAAACAAGAAGAATGAGAAAAGAACCAAGAAGAGAGATTACAGCAGTTGTTGGAGGAAAAAGAAAAAAACAAAAAGAACGAGAAAAGAAACAAGAAGAGAGACAACAGCAGTGGCAAGAAAACCTGCAACAGTGGCAATTCGAACAAGAAAGGAAACAAGAAGAATGATAAAAG